TTGGTGTTTTACAGTAAGTTTCCTCAATCGTCTGCTTGTTCTGATTGGAGGCCCTCTTTGTTCTTCAAGGTTTAATTTCTCCTTAGTTCTTTTCTTCTTTCTGTCCACCTAAGAACAATTTTCTGTGTTGCTTATTGGATCTGAGATTGATTTTCTACTTCGATTTGAGAGATAATGAGCCTCCTCCTTTCCTTTAACTGGTCGAAAACTAAATATTCCGTTTTTTTTAATTATGAAATATTCAGTAATTTTTATTTTCAGGCTGAATCTACCATACTTATTGATCATTAGTGAATTTTTTCCTTATTTTCGTCCCTGATTTTTGGGTCTATTTTTGCTTAATAAGGAAATGACAAGACAGAAAATCGAAATAAAGAAGATCGATAACATAACTGCGAGGCAAGTGACGTTCTCAAAGAGAAGAAAAGGGCTATTCAAGAAAGCTCAGGAACTATCAACTCTCTGTGATGCTGAGATTGCTCTCATGGTCTTTTCTTCTACTGGGAAGCTCTTCGGATATGCTAGCTCAAGGTCTCTCTCTTTCTCTCTTCGTTTTCATTTTCCCTTTCATCTTTATATATATTGTCTAGTATTTTCGATCTATCTGCAAATTGTTGATGTTTGAATGCTTTTGCCAGGTAATTATTGTTTAATTTTCGCACGTACGTGCAACATTCGTAATTATGTACTGGTGCTCATTATTTTAGTCTTATTTTAAACTCATTGGTCTAGACAAACGTACAGGAGAATGACCACGAACGTGCTAGCTTAGAGAATCTCACTGTTTCTATCAAACACTTTTCTGAGAAAATAATAATGATAATCTTGGCTGACTTGCTGTACTTAGCTTTTTGATTTTCTAAAACTTCGACTTCTTAGTTTATGATTCTTGAATGTTTCCCCCTTTATTCATGTATATCTTATTTTTTGCATCGTAACAAAGAAAAATGGCTTTAAAAACTTACACTTGTTGTTTTGATATGTAACTGCAAAGAAAATACCAACATGCTGTCATGTTATATGGTTCATTTCATGTCAAATATGCACATATATATCTCTGTGTGTGTGTGTGTGTCTTCATTGCCATATTATAGAGTAATGCGCGTATATAAGCCACTAGACAAGCGGACGTTTTATTTTGAATGAGACCTTCTGACCACTTAGGCAAAGGAAAGGATTGATTCATTTAGGGTAAGTAAAATATCTCATTTGAGAAAGTTTTCAGAAGAAAACGCGCTTTCTGGGGCTTCATTTAGAGGCTTTATGTCAGTTACGCAAAAGAATATTTTCTGTAATGGCAGTGTAACACAACGCATTGAGTTTTTCCTCTTTCTTTACTTTGCGAGATTAGTATTTCAATTTCTAATCTCTTTCAATCCTGTAGAGGACCCTCAGATAGATAACATCACGGTATACATGTGAAGTTTAATGTTATATATTTGCATGTGTATTATTACGGCATTTGGTATGCGCCCACACATGCAAAACTACTAAGACTTGCTAAGTATGAAATCTGTCCTGGTAATCAAAATTTGTTCCCTAGCTTAGTACGGTGAATAAAAGTTAGAAGAGGTTTATATTAGTAGCACAGGAAGTGGAGGAAAAAACAAAAAGGAAAAAGAGTGAGTGAAGTTCAAAATATACAAGAAATAAAGCAAAATTCTGAAACTACTTATGCGATATGGGAGGTCACCCCACACTTATGTTGATAATCTAAAAAACACACCATTGAACCATAAGATAGGAGATATAGTAATTTTATTGTCTAAGAGTAATGGTCCTATTCAACACGCTAACCAAACACGATAATACTCTTCATTCCTGCAGATCACTAGGTTTGAAAATTGCCATGTTTAATTTGATTGGAAACACTGGAGACTCAGAGCGATGAAACCTTTATAGTTATCCCTTTTAGAATTTTAATCATCATCTTAAATCCATTTGTGATCATGAACGAGTTATTTTAAGTGCTTTGCTTCTGTCAGCTAGAAACGAATTTTCTGCAAAACCTAAGTGAATATGCGCATTTGTTATTAGGACATGTTTTAATCAAATATAAGTCAATATATTTGTTGTATTCCAAAATGCTATCTCTCCACATTATTTTCTATATCCGGCTTCTTTATACATCTTTCTCTATAAATCACATGTAGTTTAATAATTAATCTCCATGTAGGGTAGTGTCTGTGTCATTTTTCTTTTAATTTTTCATTAAGACATAAGGATATTTCCACCATTTTATCATAAAGACGTGATTAACGCAAGCTATTTCCATAATTTCTCTCCATGCCTGGTTTGATGAGTGGCTGTAATTGTCCCATTTTGAAAAAAATGCCGAAGTATCAAAGCCATTGATCCAACCTGAGGAAGAACAGAGGGAAAAAGGGTCGCAGTCAAAGTCATGGAATTACCAAGAGAGAGTAATTTTGACATCACAACTAATGAATCATAGGATGAAAATTAGAGTCACTTGGATTTGATTGCATTTATAATCTTTTAACGTGCAACTTTTATGTTTACTACTCCTTTTCTTTTTTTGGTTACCATTCATTTGATGATTTTAGTCACACAAAGTTGTGTCAAAATGCCTTGTAGTGCTTCAAAGATTGAAGAGACTTGCATTTGTGGTGTCTGTGTTTATACCAGAAATTGATGAATAAAAAATTATTTTAGGGGCTGATGTATAATATTAATCTCTAGTCCTTATTAAATTGAATACTTGAATTTGGTCCTAAATATAAGACTCCAATCCATTTTGTTTCCCTTATTTATCCAAATTAACCCTATTAATTGCATATATTAAAGAGATTTGCATCAAAGGGTAATTTCAATCCAAATGATTTAAGAGGGTATTTGTAAATAATTTAATTACTTTCCTTAATCTATTCAAATTAGTTAAGTATATATTATATTAAGGACTGGAGGTAGCATATCATATAATGCTCGTGGGTTCAAGTTCTCCAATACCCCTTCTCTTTTTGGTCCAATACTGTGTACAGTGTGTAGTGTGCAGAATAAATTTTGAATCATCTGTGTTTTTCGTTGTCATAGTGTGCAGCAGCTTATTGAAAGATGTGATCAGCACTCACAAATCGATGGATTATATCATTCATCTGTTTTGGTAAGATTATGATGCATAATTTTTATTTTCCCCTGAAACTGACTTCTTCTAAATATATGCTTCCCAATCCTTTTGCCCCATTTTCTTCCTCCTTTAAATATTATAAACTAGCCTGAGTTATGCGACACTTATTCCATATCTCAATTATTATACAACTTATAAGATTATTCCATATCTTAAGAATAGCACAACTTAAAAGGTTTGTTATATTATATATAGATATTTAGATTATTTTTGTTGAATTGTCCTCGCCATAGTACACTGGTTCCGTTCCCTTTAATTTCAAGAACTTTATCCCTTATCCCTCTTCAACTTGTTTATTTACTTACCTAGATTTTCCCCTTTTCTATGTTTATATAATAATTTAGTTTAGAAAGGATGAAATATTTGGATTCATAGCTCATAGCTCATCTCCACCAGGCATAGTCTAAAGCTAAATAAGGATCCAAATGAGGTGATATCAAATGAGACCTATGAATAAATAAAAAGAATGCTTCAAGTCCGCGAACAATGTGAAGACTAATAGTAATAAAATGCTATGCATATAGATAAAAGTTACGTTTTTCATTATGCTTGACCTGAAATTCAATAATAATGAACTGATAGAAATCTCATGGGGAATTTATGCATAGTATGAAAAGGAAACCTTCAGCATGCTCAGCAAGGAAAAAGCTAACAAGACTTATATTGCCTTGCTAAGGGGATGACTATACCTTATAATTATATGGAACGTCAGTTGAAGGGAGAAGAGCTTGAAGGATTGAACATAAATGAATTAGAGAAGCTTGAGGAACAGATAAAACGAGGTTTGAGCCGTGTTGTCAAAGCAAGGGTTTGCATTTTCAGTCAAGTTTAAGCTAATCATATATGAGGGATGCGTTGGAAAATGCCTGTTTTGACAAGCTATTTGGAATAGCTTATCCCAAAAAAAAAAAGGTGAAAATAGATTTTTTTTTCCCAACAAAACCTTCATGATTAGCTTAATCTTCTCCAACAATTCAAGTGTTCAACTTAACTGAAACCACTTGTTTCTTTAATTTTAAACAAATTGGGCCATAATAAGTCCTGAATAGTTCCTGTTGCTTATGCTGTAGCAATATTATTGATTATATATTTGGAAATTAATCAAGCTGCGTATGCGGTCGACTTAGCTATTATTAAGATGAAAATGCTTGTTGAATCATTTTATTATTCTCTCTCATTACGAAAAAGTGCCGTGGCTCCAAATTTTTAAAGATTTAACTGCAGCAAGAACTTCACTGTGATTTCTCAAACCACGGTGAATCATCTGGAGCAAATGGTTTAACCGTGGTTCTGTCTAACTATGAGAATAATGGCATATAACCAGAGTTAAAATTAAGCTTAACTCCAGTTGTTAAATAGCAAGACTAATTAAGCTTCCCCACAGTTTTCATAAATCACAGATACTACTTTTGGTCTTTAATACAAGACTCAATTGACTCATTTTTGGAAAACTTAGGAAAGTTACTAAATTAATTAATTATAATATGTATTACATGATCTCTCTAAAATATTCATGTTGATCATTAGATTATATATCAAATTATAATTGAGGCAAATTAGTCTGGAGAAAAATGATAGAAGTAAATAGTTCAAAGCAATTTAGTAACTTCTTTAATCTCGTCAAATTAGTCAATGTGTCTTGTATTAAGAAACAGAGGTACTATATAAGATATCATTTCAACAATGTGCTGTCTTGAAGACATAGATAATGTTATACAAATGAGGTGGTATCATATGGCGCCTGGGAATTTCTCCTCCTTATTATATACATGCCCTCGTGTATAGTTTGAAATGAAATAAGTCTCCACCTCATAAAATGCAGAATAAATAAAATAATCATAAATGTTATGCAGAGTATGACAGGGACACTTTCAGCAAGCTCAGCAAGGAAGAAGCCAATAAGGTTCAGGAACTGAAAGTATGTATGTATATATATTTACGTGCTATTACATATATATACAGTAAAGTTTTTATTTTGCGGCATGACTGTCTTATAATTGAAAGGCAGTTGAGGGGAGAAGGGCTTGGAAGATTGAACGTAAATGTATTACAGAAGCTTGAAGAGCAATTAGGAAAAGGTTTGAAACGTGTTGTCAGAGCAAAGGTTTGAATTGTCTTGTCCACTTCTATGTTGCATATTTATTTGTATATGTATCTTCGCCGAAGAAAAAAGAAAAGCTAAAAATTAAAAAGGAAAGAAGAAAGAAGGAAGGAAGAATCCCCATGAATTTTGGATCATTTTGCAGCCACTCTTTCAAACTTTCAAAACATAAAGATAAGTTCCTCAACTCTCAACATTGTTATACGTTGGGACCATGAGAAGCTTATCTTGTCAATTATAGATGAGTTTTGAAATGACATATATACTTATCAATAGCAATAAGAGTCTATTATGGAAGAACCTTATCTTCCTGGACCTATTTTTCAGTTTGAAAAGTATTTAGGAAGGTATTGTAGGTTTTTGCATTCATTTTCTAGATATAACAATTGAGGGATCGAACTCTAATATTGATTTTGAAATGTGGGGTATGTTATTTTTAGAACTTCTAGTTTGGATAAAGCTTGATTTCCAAACTTTTAAAACTATTTATTTTGGATTTCTATTACCCACACCTAGCTATGTTGAACATTTGTGAGGCTGACTAAGTTGAACGGAAATTAATCTGTGTGGTATTTGTTCAATTTCACTAACTTTAACTTAAGAGCGTCCGTTCTCATGAGAGTGTCCGTCAAAAATTTGACAAAGAAGAATATACTGGAACATTGCCTTTTGTGGGAGAATTCTGCTGCTGCTTTTTTTTTTTTCCCCCAATTTTCAAACGAAGTTACTTCCTTACATTGCTGCGATAATATAAAAATCCATTTTCCGCTAATATAAAGAAGGGATTTTCCAAAGCTCTTACTCAAATACCTTCAAACAAATTTTCTCCCTTAAACTACCCCTCCCAAACACACTATAGAGGAAAGCTGTAGCGATTGTTTTATTGGGGCCCCTTTGCTGATATCCAGAAATTATTATAACTAATCTGCATAGATGGTTCGTTTTGTGATTTGCAGGATGACGTAATGTTGAAAGAGATCGATGCGCTCAAGAGAAAGGTCAAGCGCATTCCAAACTTAATTGTTGAAATCTTATATTCTTGTTTAGTTATAACTTGAAGCTTTTGGGGGGGGGGCAAGTATTATCATCGTCAAACTCTCTTTCCCTTTCCCATCCTCCTTAATCCATTCATACATGGAGAATTTGAATCATTAACATATGATGTTTGAAAAAAAATCTACATGATTCTTCTACTTAATATTTGATAGAATAAAAAAATTCATTAAAATATGCACTGTGGACTACAGAATAGCAAGTCTAAGACATCTATGGATTGAATTGAGTATTGTTGTATGTGCTTGTATGTTCATATTTAATCCGTAAGTATTAAAACTGCATATCTGGCTTTTAGGTTCCCTCACTTAGTTGAATGGGTCATTATTCAATTTGTTTATCTAAATTGTATACATAAAAAAAAAAAAATCAGTTTTTTTATTTTTTATTGACCAAATTTGACTGACTATTATGTGGAAGCTTTTGAAAGCGTTTTAAATCAAAGGAAGGTCCCCTTCACTGGTTGAACCAGCTGGTCCAATCTAGTTCTCAAATCACTTGTTTTGAAAAAGAGTCTTAAAAGATGGAAAATGTGTGTTTGGGGGAGGAATCTTTCACAAGAACAAGGAGGTCGGTCATCTGAGTCAGCCAACATTGGCAGCATATTTGATCCTTCACATGATGATGATAGTTCAGACACTTCTCTCAGATTGGGGTGAGTATAACTAACTTAACTGTCCATTCTTGAGCTTTCTAGTAATGAAGCATACCAAGAAAATGCAGGATTCTGTTGTTTACTTCTCATGATGTTGCTGGTATAGTGAAGAGACTTGTGGTTACATGATGGCTTGGTTTTATATAGAAACATGATACTGAAGATCTCAAAACAACAATTAAATTTTAGCGGTCCGATCTTGAACAATTTGGATGAGCATTGAATCATATGATAATAAGTGAATATATCTTTGTCAGAGTTCCGAATTGTCAAATATTGGGCATTGCATGTGTTAATGAATAACTAATCGGGAGAATTAAAGTCGAAATTGATTTTTTACTCCCGAAATATTTTCTGAGGAGCTATGGAATCGGCGCAACATTGTCTCGTTTAACAGTCAACATTGAGTCACAAAGCCAATAGTCTTATAGCTTAGTGTCATGAAAATTTCTTATAAATGAGTAGTAGTTGCGGGTTTGATGCTACTTGTAACCTTAAACTGTTAATACTTGTTGTCATTCTTAAAAAAAAACAGTTAAAAAAAAAGTGAACTTTAGCATGTACTCTAAATATGTATTCTTGCATACATTGAATGTGAGACTGAATTTATTAATGTGTGTGTGTGTGTGAAATTAAGGATCAGATATGGATCTGTGGCGTATATTCTTAAAACTTTAACTTAAGTTTATTGTCTGTGTTGCAGATTGTCTTTATTTAAATGAGAAAAGCAAAAAAAGATGACGAGGAACTATAGAGCAGAACCATTGAGATTATCATTCTTGTAGGTGAAATTCAACCAATGCAGGAGTTTTTTCCATTATTTCATAAGAATTTAAATTTGCTTTTAATCTGTAAGTAAGTAGGTATTGATTACATAAATTGACCAAATGAACATGCGCGCGCGCGCGCGTGTGTTGTATTTGAATTCCAAAGTCATGGATAAACAAAACGCCCGGTGCTCGCCCTTAATGTGCTGCAGCTTCATTCACCCGCTATAGTGGTGGTTATTTGATATATTCCCAAAAAAAAAAAAAGAATTAACATATTACTATATATTGACGTATTACCAATATAAAATTAATTATAAACTGATCATTCTTAATTAAAACAATACTTTTCAACATATGGATTTGATATTGAGAATTATATGTTTATTGCTAAAGCAAGTTAAGAAAACAAACATTTCATGCCTTGTGTGATGAGGATGGCTTTTTATACATACAAACTTCGAGGTGAACAGTGAACTGTTTATATTTTGGCCGAAAATTATGTTTTTTTTTCTTAGTAAAATTTTTTAAGGGAAAATTAGGGAGAAGGATTTAAAAAAATTAGTATTTATTAAGAGGGATCTTAAAAATTGTAATTAATTTGAAAGACCATAAATTAAAATAAAATTTTACAATTACCAAATTATCCCTTATTAAATCTCTACATTATCTCTAACACCTTCCTCTCTCAATTTGACAATTAATTATCAATTGAACTTGATTTTTCTATCTCTCTCTCTTTCTGTATCTCTTTTTGATGCACCCAAAGTTTTTATCAATAGCAATTGTCTTTTTGTAAATCTAGAACAAAGAAGACAAATTAAAAAGAATCAACTAGCAAACTATTTATTGGACGGTATGTATATTCTGAACATTATTTTCCCTTCTTTAGTTTATTTGTACTAAATGTTTTCTAATTTTCTCATCGCCTCTATATAAAGGCTTTTTGGATGAATATAAAAGTATATATTTGTACCTTTCTTCAATTCCAACTATACATACATATGAATACAATCACACTACCTATACAAAGCTTCTTAGATGAATATAAATATAGTTCTTTGTGTTAACCAAAATATGAAAATCAAGTAAATAGTACCTCTTCGTAACCTAAGCTTCACTAATAATTTTTCCAACCGCATCGGAATGAGGGGCAAAAAGCGCCGTTGCGCAAGCTGGAAATTTTTCCAGCCATATTGGAATGAAAGGCTAGTAGATGCATATATGAATGGCTGAAAAATAAGACTCTATTTGTTGTCAATTGCTGTATTTAGTTTTTAATTTTAATGAGGGGCAATTTAGTAATTATAAATTTATCTTTCAATTGATAACTGATAGTCAAATATTGAGATGGGTCTTGGAGATAATGTAGGGATTTGACCAGTGATAATTTCGTAATTGTAAATTCATATTTAAATTTTTGGTCCTTCAAATTAATTACAAGTTTTAAGATCCCTCTCCATAAATACTAATTTTTTTAAGTCCTTCTCCTCAATTTTTTCATTTTTTAATCTCTCCAAATTAGTCAACTAAGTGTTATAGTAAGAAATGAAGGTACTAAGTTGTAGTAGTTTGTATATGATACAATCTCATATTGATTAGTATAAGAAAATTACTTTGTTAGGGATTTAATATAGCATGGTTTATCTAAAAAATGTAATAACTATTAAATCTATGCACACATAGTTGTTTTAAGGGTTAATATCATCTCTAATTCTTTAAATTTGACTTCGTTTTTGTTTTGGCCTTGTAAGCTTAGAAGTAGTGGTTTTGGTTTTTAATATTTTATTTTATTTTGATCGGCTTAAAAAAAATTTAATCCTTAGAACAGTATTTTGTATTCCTAAAAAAGATGCCAAATTTTGGAAATTAGAGGTGATATATATATTAATACATATTTTTTTAATTAGATATGATTTTCTAAAGAAAAGAACACAAATATATAGCAAAAAAGTTCCAAGAAACTTGGTAATAAATTTGAAGTCCCAGAGGAACCTGAGTATAATTTAGTAAAGTGTCAAAGGACATCTTTGCCCCTAGTAAAATGCAACCAAAATTGCTAAAAGTTGCTCTGTTCTAGATTGAAAATCAGCATCTATTAGCACAAGACAAGAGGAAAAATGAACCTAAACTTCATTTTGTTCCTTCTCCATTTCCATCGAAAAATCTTGCCCACTCCACTTGCATTAGCCATTATTAAAAATCACTTGTGTTTTTGGTTTTGTATGTGTTGGTCACTTAAATTAAGAATTTATTATAGATAAATAGGGTGATTATAGGTGTTTAATTTTTGGGTATATTGTGTGTGAATTGAGGGTGGGCTTACTCTATTTTGGCAT